TACTGAATATTGAAAGATGCTTCATCTTACCATTCCTATGAATGAGTTTAACCTTCCTATGATGTATTTTTTTTAATATCAAGGGAAAAATAATTACTGATCTCTCTCTCTTTATTACTAGCCATTAGAAAATTGGAAATTTTTTTTTTTGAAAATTAGCCCAAATAACTTTCCAGTAATGAGCTTTCTATTCTGTTCTTATAGTAAAGCTATTTTTTTTTTTGCATGTTTTGAAGAGATTGGTTAATACAGCTTTCTTCAGAGAGGTTTCTGTCATTTGAAGTAATGACAAAAGTAAGTAACTTGCTACTGAAGTTAATTGGAAACCCACAGGGCCAGAAGACAATTATGTGAAACCCGAAAATATGTATTTGTGAATCTCGCAGGGAGTTCCTAACAAGAGAGTGAAGACCAATGGTGCCTGGAGAGAAGTGGCAACCATATGGCTCGAGGAAGCTAGTCAGCAGTTATGAAAAACTAAAGGATGTATGTAGAGAAAAGGGAGAAAGGAAAATAGCTCAGGAGGGAGGATCAGAGAGAGAGTGGAATGGTTGACCGAGGAGCCATGGAGATCTTGATTCAGAATACCGAGGGTGTGCTAAAGCCGAATCAAAAGACTGAACCTTGTCTTGCACAGAGCTTGCAGGGAAAGGAAAAAAGAAAAGGCTAAAGTTGAGTTCTTCGATGTAAGTGTGCTACATGAACTAGCTGAAAAATGGAAGTGCAGCCAAGACCAGAACTGAAGAAGTATGGTTTTTAACTGAGAACTCTTCCCATCTCTTAAACTTTGGGAATCTGTAGCCCAAACTGGCATCTACTAAGAAGATGATAATGCAAACAACTCCTCATTTTCACACCATGCATCTGATGACACTGGTGGCAGACATCATGATATTTCTCTATTTTCCACCTCTATCTAACAAGATTTTAGCCAAAAAAAAAAAAAAAATCTTCTTAAACTATTGCTGAGCATATACACTCTCCAAGCTTTAATTCACTTCTTCACTCTAAATATGGTTCTTTGCAGTAGGAAATAACATTAAGATATTTCCCCACTCCAGATTTATGGACCCCTCAGGTAATTACACCTGAGATAGTTGGATTCTGAACAGGTAAATCTCCCTGGAGTTCATGAGCATTTTAAAGCTGCTCTATAATTGTATACTCATCACGTTAACCCAGATGTCCTATGTTCCCCAACCCAATACAAATAAAGTAGAACTGCATGAAAGATAGACATTAAATAGCCATGATTTCTATATGGCTATATTTCAGGTCACTATGATGAGCAAGATATTTGGGACATTTTTTCTTTCTGTAAACCTTCAAATGGTTTTCCTAGTAGAGCTCCTGAGAGCATTAGCCAGGGCTGATGTGCTCTCCATAGCTGGCTTCTCTTCTACATTCAGCCTGGGCCATTATGCATCTCTTTGACGAGTCCTTATAATTGCAAGCTTCAGAGAAAGTGACCTCTCAAGTGCCCTGGAGCATCTACTATAACTGTGATGCCAGGAGACCTGTCACTTATCACAAGTCTTTAACTTCTCCTTCTGCAGAGTTGATTGATAGTCTACAAGACTGACAGCTCTTGCTAAACTCGGAAACAAATGATTCCTTGGATCTTCTCCAACTGTGCTTTGTACCAGAATAGAAAATAGAAAAATAGCACATCTCTTGAGGATGTGGCTGTAAGACAGCCACCAATTCCAAGACCCCAATGTCTGTATTGTTTTTCAGACAGTAAACAGAGTTGCTCTCGGCATTTATGTGTATAGTGTTTTTATATGGTCACCGTCTCCACATTGATTGAGGTTGTTTGTTACTGACAGTTTCAGAACAACCCAGTGAGTCATTGCTACGCTGACTGCAGTCAATGTACAGTGAGACTGCCTGAGGATTCATACGGGTATCTTCTTTCTGTGGCTTTAGGGTTTCTTCAGCCCTCTGGGAGAGTTTGCATAATGTATTGCCTGCAGGGCAGACTGTTAGCTATACATCCCTTACATTAAACTTGAAATTTGTGGTACCCAAAATATCTCAGTGACTAAAAGAAAAAGGAAGAAAATATCATCATACTCATCAGCCAACTAAGTAGTAGAGCCTACAATTTCAGATTGACTCCATTTGGAGTGTTTATTTTGTGGATATGACATTTTATAGCAAGAACCAAACATATGAAAATGTAGAAGCAACTTTTATAGGTTTATTAATCTTGTGGCTATCTGAATAATATTGTTAAAACTTTTCTATTGGCCAATAGCTCTGTTCAGTGAGCTCTGCTCTTGCTATTATTATTAGAGAGAGGAGCGGCACTGAGCTCTCCTACCCTACCCCTAACGGGATGCTCAAGAACAAGGTCAGGATTCCAGATGAGGACTATATTCTGTGTTTATGAAAAAGACCTATGCCCTGCAGACAGATAACCAGTCTGTAAAAGAGCAGACCCAATTCTTACCCAGTTTTTAATTAGCATCATCCTATTATTTTTACCATTCTCATCCATACTGCTATCTGTTGCGTGCCATGCAACTCTATCAAACTGTCCACTGTCCTGCTTCTTTTTCCAGAGCCCCTTTGAAGGCTCCCTCTTCTCATACCTTTTGACCACCTGCTCTCCCCACCTCCGCAAAATCAGATAGGATGCATTTTGAGTACAGTTGTGGATTGGGAAGAATTTTTTTTTGAGGGAGGGAATATCCAGGCGTAATCTCCCCATCATGTCTTGAGAGGTAGTATGAAGGTGATGGAAGATACAGGAATAGATAAAAGGGCCTCCCTTGGCCATTCGGTAGGACTACATCTAAAGGCAAAGTGCTTATTTCCTCCCCTCCTGCACCAAGCACAGTGCTGGCTCATAAGAAGTGCCAAGTACAAGTTTTGTTGATTTTTTTTTTTTTTTAATTTCAATATGGGGAGTAGAACATGGAAGAGCAATCACCAATCACCAATATCCTTGAAGGCACGGTCTGCATGACAAAAAAAAAATTCCTGCAAAAATTATTTTAGGCTAAGAGTCTGCTTTTAAGTTAAGATAGTAGAGTAGGTGAGAACTGAATTTGGGCCCAGGCTGCCTACGTTAAATATTCGCCCTGCCTCTTACCAGTGATATCAGCTTGGGCCAATTAACAGTTTCTAATCCTCGTTTTCTGTATTGTTGAATTGAAAGTCATGACAGTACATACCTCATGGTGTTATTGTGGAGATTAAATGATTTAATTCATGTAAAAACCCTGGTATAATACCTGGGACACAATAAGTACTATATAAGTATTTGCTATTATTATTTGATTGAAAATTTTGCTCTATTTGAGAGACTGTATTATTAATTGTTCTGCTATATTTAGGAGCCCCAATTATTAGAAAGAATGTGTATGAAGCTAAATTTACCCACCACATCACTATTCTTTCATCTAATTTACCCTATTATTAACACACATTCACTATTCACTAAACATTTACTACGCATATATCTCTAAGTAATGATACTATATGTACTATCATTACCTGTTAATGATAGTACATATAGTATCTAAAATTTCTAGCCTCATTATATAGTTGTAGGAGGATCAATGTGTATGGAATCTCATGTCTCCTGAGTTTCAAGAATGAGTTTTTAACTTGCATCTCCTTGGCTAGAAACTTTGTGCAACAACCTCCAGCTCAGTGATTGCTTTCCTCATTACTTCATCTAACTGACCTAGAATACTTTAGACAAAGCTGGCTGATAGAAAAAGAACATGAAAAATATGTAATGCCATGAGAGTTCTTTTCTGACATTAGCTTTGTTTTTATTTCAGCAAGGTAACAGCATCATTTGTCTTTCCAATCACAGGCGGCTCCATTACTCATGAGGCCTATTATTTTCTTAAGAGTTATACCAACCTGCTTTGAGACATCCATCACTACATCTTTGTGTCCTCTACATTTAGTGGCACGATGCAAAGAAAATATCTTTAGTCACAAGCCGTTGATAAGAAATACTAGTCATAAAAGTTAAACATCATTAATTTTTTCGATATACCTAAGGTGTTACCTATATCAGTGAGTGCAGCTATCAATGGTTCCTTAAAATTTTCCAAGCTTTCATTACCTTTTTAAAAAAATAATCTTGTATAATAGTAATGTTTGATTTGCTTGTTCATAATCTTTGTCTTCTGAGGTAAAATGTAGAGAACTTTGCCTCTATAATATTTTCACTCCTCCTAGGAGCCTTTGAGGTCTAGATGAAATATGCAGTCTCTTTTCTGAGATAGCTGACTCTTTTGGCTTGAACTATTTGATTTAAAATAGTGCTAAGGTTTATATTGTCTTATGGCCCTCTCCCCAAAATGTAATGCCTGAAAAACTCAGAAAAAAAAACTTCTCTTTCTTTCTTCCTGGAATTTTTAGGGACAAATGCCTTTACATCTTTCCTATCTTCCCAGAGCTCAGCATAGTGCTTAATGAATATTTCCACGTCAACTAAAACTAGGGGTATTCAAATTTCTTAAGTATAAGGTTTTAGAGCAGACATCTTTTTCTGGCCTGAAAGTCAATGTGCAGCCCATCTTCACCCAACTAATTCGAAAGAGTAAAGCAAAAGAAAACATACTCTTCGATATTTTCTAAGTTAATAACATGCGGTTTCACATTTCTATAATACATTGATTAAGGCCCTGTAAGAAGTATCAAAAATAAACTGAAACTGCAGTCTCTTCCCTGGAGGAGTTTCTTGGGTATAGTTACTTTTAATAAGGAATATACTGATGGCTGACCTTCTGGTAAAATGTTACATGTTCCCAATTAGGACCCCTGTATTCGTTCAGGATTTAACCTCAAAATACCTTTAGGAACCTGATGAGTGAATGCCTCTATAATTCTCTGTTAATTGGAATACTTAACTAAAAAGACTCTTCCTTTTTATTAACTATAAGGTTTCAAGAGTTCTTAGATGTAGTTTTAAAATACACATTGTTTTGGTAAATGTGTAGGTATTTATCATTGATTTGTTTATAATACAGGGACCTCCTGGAACACAAGGAGTACAACAGACTCTTGGTGGATATTATAACAGGGTATGGCTTCTGTTTTCACATATTATATACAGAGATTTTTGTGTGATTATATTTTTGAAAAAAAAACTTTAATTCTTAACTGCTCAGACTTTGAAACATGATCACATATTCTTAGCATCTTTCCATACTGAAAATGTTTCAAAAAAAGTATTTGCCCACTATCTTTTTTCAAAACCAAGATATTATCTATATAAAAAAAATTTACTTCAAAGTTTGCAAAACTTCATGCAAAAATTTAATGCAAAAATCATGTTTCACCATTGATAATATCATATATCTAATTTCTCTGAGGACAGAAAGAGATTGTTTGCTACTTTGAAGCTCCAGATAGCACAATAGGTAATAGATTTCATATCAAAACCAGTAGATACTACACTAAAATTTCAAGCAAACATTTACATACCATAGGTCAAAACTGGGGGTCCCCTACCTTTCAAGGAGAAGCCACTTTTAACTTCCCCAAAGTTTTTAGATTACAATTAGAATGGATGGAATCCTGACGTGGAAGTATCTGAGTGGCAAAAGGCAAGACAATTTTGCTTCCTATCTCCAAAGAAGCACAACAAAGGGAAAAGAATGTGGGTTGACAATGAACTAAGACTCAAAGACCTAAATGAGGCTGTTGATTGACTCATCATTCAATAATAAATATTTGGGGTCTAATCACTTATATGAGTCATTCTCTCCACTGACTAGGGTCTGTTATATACAAAGTAGCTTATCATTGATATGGTGCTGGTGAATAATTATGCCACAACAGTAAAAACAAATTTAGAGACACTCCTTTATGTCTTTCCTCTGTGTTCTTGCTTTCTGTTCCTACAAATTCTTGACTATTGCTATTCCTCTCTTTTTGGAAATCCCAAAGAGACACTGTGTGCCAGCAGAGACCTTGAAGATAGCAGGTGCTCAGAAAAGTGTTCGTTAAATGACAAGCTAATTAATTTTTAAAACCCCAATTCTTTTTTCATCAGGTTAAGTTCAGCATAAAGACTTAGATTATTTGTGGTTATATTTCAAGAGTGTAGAAAGTTTGTTATTTTAGTAATTCAATCTTAAATTCTCTCATTTACTTAGATTTTCCAGGGAGAATTATATGAGGAAGAATGGGGTATAATTAAACATTTTCTGAATAGATCTATTCTAGCTTTTTCAGAACATTGGGGCTTGGCACAAGTGAACAAAAGTAAATGAAGCATGTCTAAAATTAATCAATAAAGATACAATGCTTTTCCGTAATGACAACTACTACAAAATAAGATTTATCACAAAAGCCTTCAAAGTAATAAGAATGAGTTGGCTCTGATGTCACAGTGTCAGCTAGAAAAACTTAAAGAACACTATATTACTTTCACCCTTGGTATAAAATTTACCAAGTTGCTACTCAGCTACTTAAATATTTGCTATTCCTTGCAAAACTTTTAAAGCTCATATCTTTACAAGTCTCCCAACACTACTTGTATATATAGTTTATCTTGCCGATGAGTCAGTTTTCCCTTAAATGAAGATATATGGAGCATTTATATTTTAGTCTAAAGTTGGGAATGTAAATTTTTAAACTTTAAGATTATATTTCAAAAAACGGGAGGGCGGGGGGAGGGAGGGGGTCTGACCAGAGCAGGCAAGTAGAGAGTCTTGCTAGTAGCAAACCAATACTTTGAACTTTGCTAATCGTCTCACCTAAAAGAACTCCAGCTGCCCTTATAGCCATTCCAGGATAGAGGCTCACGGGTATTTAGTCCACATGTGCTTAAAATGTGGCTTTAGAGCTGGAGCATAACTGGATAAAAAAGAGACTATGGCTTTTCTTCCCCAAATGATGCATTAGAAGCACTTAGCATCAGAGGGCTTTAGACTCATCTGGGAATTAGTGGAAGATAGCTTCCCAAATACACTTCACTCCATTTCCTTCTGCAAGTAATGAGAGCTGTTACAGTGAGGTCCCACCAGGATGGATAGACAGGCAGGGCCCGCCTTCCCAGTACCTACACTGCCCCAATGTTTCTGGATGGTAAACTCCTCCTTCTCACTCTCAGCTTTATAAATAAAAGGGGGGGGGGCGGAGGGGGCATGCAAATGTGCCATATGACCGAGATACATATTTTCATTTGGCAGTGTCCCCCACCTTCACCCCCATCTGTTTTCGGATACTGAGATTGGTTCATTTTGTAATTCATCGCATGCCTGATGGTCTGGCTGTAGCAAATGAGCACAAAAGAAAGAGTGGGGAGAGTGAAACTTTCCTGAAGATTAAATAATGCATCCTGGATTGAGATATAAAAAGTGACATTCCAAGGTTAAAATAATCTTCCTTTTTAAATTGGCATTGATTTATGTAATGTCTGCACTAGAGTCCTGGCTTCAGCTCCTAAGCTTGAAGCAGCTCCAGGAGTCAAGCAGCCTGCCGAAGCAGCTACCCATGGGAGGATGAGCAGCAGACTGCTCTTGCACATCCCCTCGAGGCTCTTCTAAACTAAAAGAGCTCATGGTTCATCCCTTCATCCCAGAAATCCTCAAAGGCAAAGGAATTGCTCCTCAGTCCCTGTACAAGAGTTGATTTTTCCCTTATGTCATCAGAAGGAGAAGCTCAGGCCTAAAAAACTCTCACCCTTTGCACCACAAATCAAAAAGCAAATATGGAAGGAAAAAAAGAAGCGAGGAACAGAGAGAGAGACTAAGGTCAGGAAGATTACCTAAGTGTGTTTATGTGTATTTTTGCATGCCCACTTGAGGATGCAAAGAACAAAAGGTAGAAGATTTCCCTTTCCATCACAAAAATAATTTGCAAAACAGCTGCTCCCATTCTGCAAGGTTGTTTGCAAAGAAGCAGCAATGCTGAGCATATTCTTCCCCTTAAGGAAAATCTGCTCACTAACCAGCAAGCCGCTCTTCATTGTCTCCAGCTCTGGGAGTTTTAATAAAAATTCGATAGGCTCTGTCAACTGCAAACGCCATCAGATCCAGAGCCCCTTACAGCATTCTAGATGGAGAAAAAAAGTGTTATCTGTGGAGGCTGTGTACTGGAGGGTTTTACATTTGATATTGTTTTTAAAGATCCACATTGAAAATGCATAGTTGTATTATCTTACATCAGTATATTCAGTGAAATTTGCAGAGAATCAGTCTTAGCTGTTGGAGATTGATGCTGTGCCCTCCAGCAACCAATTCTAGTGTTCACTTCTCTAAATTGCTGACAAAAAAAAAAGAAAAAATCAATTTGCTAGCAAAATAATCTATTTTTCCTTTCAAGTATCAAATTACAACTTCATTTTAATATCCACAAACTAGAAAGGACAGAAAATCCTTCCCCAAAATCAAATAGTCAATGTCTTCCTAAGCCATGAGTTAAACCCAATGATGGCACAGAAAGTGAAAGCTTCCTTGGGAACGCTGGAGGCAACCTTCTAGACCAGGAAGATTTAGAAATAAAATTTAAATACTTCCTGTCTCTCCCTATACCCCGGGATCCACTAGTTTCAGGAAACATTATAGATTTAGGCACAGACATATGGCTTTTTGGATCTTAGTTTTATTACAGAGAACCTGGAAACCCACCTGGGTCCTTTCCCACCCCTGTGTGGTCTACCACACTTGGAGCTGGTGAAATGTTTTCTTGCAAGTAACTGAGAGGTTGGACTTAGAGCCAGCTTTAGGTCTTATTTTCAAGAGAGCATGCCGTCTTATGCCACATATTTTATTTTAACTTATCAGGGCTACTGTAATAAAGTATCACAAACTGAGTAGGTTAAACATCAGAAATTTATTGTCTCACAGTTCTGGAGGCTGGAAGTCCAAGATGAAGATGTCAACATGGTCATGCTCTCTCTGAAGGTGCTAGGGAGGGATGTGTTCCAGGCCTTCCTCCTGGCTTCTGGTATTTCCTTGGCTTGTAGCAGCATAACTCCCTTCTTCACATGGCATCCTCCCTGTGTGCACATCTCTGCGTTCAAAGATTGTTTTTTATTAAGGATACAGTCAAATTAAATTAGAAGGGTATACCCTACTCTAGTATGACCTCATCTTAACTAATTACATATGCAAAGAACTTATTTCTGAATAAGGTCATATTCTGAAGCACCGAAGGTTAAGACTTCAACATGTGAATCATGAAGAAAGGACACAATTTAGTCCATGACAGATAATCTGTTTTTGTTTTTGTTTTTGTTTTAATTTTATATTCCCTCATGTTCCCCAGAACCTAAACTGGGAGATTTTTACTGACCCCATGTCCTGGTAGGGGGTTTATGTCCTTGGTCTCTTTTATTATATTGAGCCACAAGAAACTGCTGAAATTTGACTCTTTAGAGCTTATGAAAATGGCCGTCTCCTATGGTTCAACCAGTACATATCCAAATATATTCTCTTCTTTCCAGAGAATACCCTCTTCATGGCAATTGGAATAGCTTGAGTCTTCCTACTTGTCTGACTATAAGCTCCAAAGTCCCATTCACCATTTCCTACAAGAGAACAAAGGGCATGTTCTGACATCCCAGAATTCTTGAAATGTGCAGGCCAATTAGTACCCCGCCACACACAACCCTCACCACTTCACCAGGGACTTTTAAATAAACACATTCAAAACTATATAGCTGTTTCGTTTATTCAAAAGGCTTGTAAGAACCCATTCAAATAACATGGCACCAGGGTACAAAATGACTTAGCAAAATTAGAATAGAATCTGAGGCAGAACTGCGGGTTCCAGAAACACAAGAATTACACCTTATTATTTCTGTAGAGCCAAGTAAATGTCTGTTGCAGTTAGCTTGGAGAAAGTGGAGAGAATAATCTCACATATTAATGAATAAATGCTACTGAAGTTCAAGTTCAAATCTGCTTTGAGTCTTGTTAGCCCAAGAGTGGAGAACACCTATAGAGGGCACTGAGGACCTTTGATTAGATGAATTTCTTGGCCTAGCTACTGAGTGTAGTAAACTTGTGGTGCTCTGCTAGGCAATAAATGGCCTTGTTGTTTTTCTGGGTGTGAAAGCCAACAGAAAAATCAAGATTTTAGAACAGACCATATGGATAGAACAGTATGACTTAGTGCTGCAGAGGCATTTCTCCATTTCAACCACAGCATCTCTGACAGCATCAGTTTCCTCATTTGTTGGGGAGGGGGATCTAAACCAAGGTGCTACACTGTGATTTGCACTCACCTGATGCACTTTGAGTGCTCTTCTGCTCTGCACACCAAGAATATGGGGCCACTCAATCAAAAGACCGTCTCTGGACAACTCGCATCTTAGATCAAAGCATGTCCCAGCTTCCCCCAAAAATGTCCTAGCATAACCACACCCAGAGAGAGACACCGATGGGTTGTACACTCAGATTGGGACCATGCTCAGATAGCTAGTATTTTCAGGAAATGCCTAAAATTAATATGTTTCTGTGCAGGTTGCATCCAAGCAACCTACCATTTTGTAAGTGCCAATTCTGTGTTTGTGTGTGTGTGTGTGTGTGTGTGTGTGTGTGTGTGTGTGTGGTGTGTCTTAGAGTCTCATACTTCATTTTTCTTGAGATCACTTGCAGCTCAGGATTTTGAGAATATAATTTTTATTTTCAATTTAGATATTTCAGATCAAAGTTAATAAGAAAAATGAGAGAATATCTGTCACAAGACCAATAACAGCAGTTCTAACTTGCATATTTTAATTGGAGTAACATTAGTAACATGAAAGGCATATTTAAAATGTTAAACTATAGCAACAGTGACCTTTGTGTATTTTTGTTGTTTAAACATTTCTGTACTTTTTTCTACCAACACGTGTGTTTTTAATTAAAAAAAAACAAACTTTAATGAGAAAAACACATAAATTAGAATCAACAAATATTTATTTAATCAACAAATATTTATGAGGTGCTTCCTATATGTTTGGTATTGCTCTAGGCATGGGGTGAGCATTCAATTCCAGGTCATCATAGAGCTTATATTCTACTGCAAGGGGAAGAAAATTTTTTAAACAAACAGAAAAATAAAAATGTTAGTATTAGGAAGGAAGAACACAATGTCCATTGAGAGGATAATGAGAGGGGAACCTGCCTGGGAGACCCACAGGAGGCTTCTTTGAATGGCATTTTATAATAGTTGAGACCTGAGGGATGAATACTTGCTAGCCAGACAAAGAGATGAGGATAGAGTGGTGATCAAAAGGATGAAATGGAAAGAATCTTGGCCTGTGTGAGATGAGAAAAGGCAATTACAGCTGGAACTTCTGAGGGAGAAGAGTGGCCAAGATGATGCTGGAGAGGAAAATGAGTTCAAGTCATGCAGGATTTTGATGGCTTTGTCAAGGTTTAGAAGGAAGGAAGTCAGAATGTCTTTTAAAGATACCGCTCTGACCTTATTTAGAGAATGTGTACTTGTGGGGAGCAAGAGTGGATCATAGAGGGCCAATTAGAGAGCTATTGCAATGATCCTGGCAAGACATGATGGTGGCCTTCCCAGAGTGAAGGCAGGTAGCATGAAGAGAAGAGATTTTGGAGACAGAGACATCGTAGACTGATCATACCAGAGGAGTAAGGAGGACGGCAAAGTTAAGAATGATACCCAGATCGAAGGAAGAGCTCTGTGAAAGCAAGAGGATGAATTCAGATTTTCTTTCTTTCCTTGATTTTTTCAATTGTAAAATAAAATTAGTGCTCATTTTAACAAGTCAAACTACACACTTACCCTAAGAAGAAGTTAAGTCTCATTCTCCCATTTCCGGACTAATGAATGTGAATAGCATGATATAATTCTCTCGTATATCTCTCTCATATATGTGTGCATTTATTAAATTCAGTTTTGAACTCATTGAATATGGATTTCTTCTAGAATTTGTAAGTAAATACATCAAGTAGAAAATTATATATATTGGTCAAAACTCAGAAGAGGATGTATGCTGGCTTTATAAATTTGTCTGTCTTTTTGTGGTAGCTGATCTTTGAGCCATGGGAGTAGGTAAGAGTGCCTGGGAGAAGATGTTGAGTTGCAAAAGAAGAGAGGCTACATAGAGTCCCGAGGAAGTCCTACCTTGACCAGTTAGATGAGGGAAGTGAGAGAAAGGTCGGGGAGATGGGAAGAAACCAGGAGGGTGAGGTGTCACATAAATCAAGAGAGTGGCAAGCTCAGCCAAGAGGTCAAATAACAGAATGTCCATTATACTGAACAACAAAGATATCATTAAGAACATTAGAAAGTCCTATCTGTGGAGTGGTTGGGGACCATGCGAGGTTGCTAGGCATTAATTTGGAGTAGTGACAATTTTCCTGTGGAGATTCTATTTCTTCAGAATTATCTCCTGGGAGGAAGTCACAGACAAGATAGGGTCTCTGAAGTTGGAGTTTTTCAGGAATATTTAACAGAAGGTGAGAGAGGCAAAAGTGACTAAAATAGTATCCATAAGAAACCATTACAGTACTATTATCTGACTATATTTTTAAAGGAGAGACTGACTATATTAAAAATAAATGAATATTTTGTATTTTTATTTGTTTTATGTTTATCTAGGGAAACCTTGGTGAGCATGGAGCTGGTGGCCCAAAAGGAGAGAAGGTAATCAGATTTTTTTTAATTTTATTTTTCAATTAGAACTGACATTCAATATTATTTTATATTAGTTTCAAGTGTACAGCATGGTGGTTACACATTTATATAATTTACAAAGTGATCCCCCACTCCACAATTAGTCTACTACCCACCTGGCACTATAGTTATTGCAGTATTATTGACTGTATTCCTTGTGCTGTACTTTACATCCCCGTCATATTTTCAAAGTGAATAAAAACATTCAGAGTTTTACACCAATTCACACATTCTTAAGTCAGGAGCAGTCCTGTTGCCACATGGGGGTTTCATCCGTGGCAAGTCCACGAAGCCCGCAGTGGGCACAGCCTCCACCGACCTCCTGACCAGGCAGCAGGACTGGAAGCTACTCCTCAGTGAAGACTACTGAATAGCAGCTGGCTACAAGGAAAAGGACACCTTGAGGGTAAATAGCTGTAACAAGGTAAATGAAATAAGGACACAAACCTCTGTTTATAATTTGATGTTTCACATGTCCGTGGCAAAAACCATCTGAAGACCCTTTCACAAAATGCATTAGGCTCAGGCTCACTATTTTTGTGTTTTCTTAAGTGCCCAAACATAAGCTGTTATACGAGCATTTTTTTTTTTTGGTGGGGTTTTATAATGTAGTCATGGCTTAGCCAATAATTATTTCAAAATAGTTTCAAAATTAAAATGCTGATGAATTTCCAGTGCATTCTTGTCATCATTCACAGGTTTAATTATATTAGCTGTGAGGATGACAGATTCACTTGCCCACTCAAAAAGATGTTTCCCTCCCATTTGGTTCTGAAATTGTGATGACCTTGGATTCAGTGTGAATGTGCCATTGTCAGGAAAAACAATGCACATTAAATCTACAGACAGAGATGAGTAGGTTTGAAAATACTCTGAGGGAATGTGGCCTGTGAGTGCTACCTTCATTCATTCACCCAGTAAAATTCTCTTGATTGAGGGCAGGGTATTTCAGCATGAATCCAAGAAAATATGACTTCTGTACCTAATAAATCGGTGCAACCAATCTAGTCAAAAGATCATATATCCTTCACCAGAAAATACTGCTAAAAGATCATCTCAACAGAAAGTGGGAACTTTTTTTAGACTGACCATTGAAAATGAAATTTTCTGCAAAGAAATAAATAAATAAAACCTTGACATTCTTAAAAAGACATCCAAAAATATTTATTATACAGCAATAATAAGTCATTTGTGTGTCTTGGGTTATACAGCTCGTACATTAGCATTATTTCCTGTAACCAAATAGTTTTTAGAATTCCTCCACCACCATAGCAAACACATTACATTTTAAGCAATTACTACTGGACACCTGCAAGCTAAGCGGGGCGGGAGGAAGCAAAAGAAAGCCACAGAGCTTGTCACATAGGACAGCTGAGCCAAGAAGAGAGTTGTGGCACTTTTAAAGTATTTAAATGATGATTCATTTCTTCAAACAAAACAGCTGGCTTCTGTTTTGCTATGTTCATTAGGAAACATATGTTACTTAGAAATTCTTAAGACCTCAATGATGAGAAATTTGATTCTGTAAAACAGGTGTATTTCAAACTCTAAGGACATTTTCTATTGCTCAAAATCTTTCCTAATTGCTTCAGAATCTTAAGTAGAATTAGAAAAGCCAGTGGCATATCTGTTCCCTCCTCCCACCCAAAGAAATAACCTAGAAGAGTCTGCGGGGACCTTGATGCAATACCTAATATAAATGTACATATGAAATGATTTGTGAGAATTCTAATTAACAGGAGAAAGACTCTACCAATAAATAATGTATAAAATAAACTAAAAAACATAAGCATAGCACTTGCTTGAAGAGTGACATCACTTCTATCTATGTACGTCCACTTAGTATCTGTTCTGAATCAATACAGTAGTTTTCTTAATCATAATGCTGTTCATGGGTCACTATAGTGAGAATTTAAAGCTCTTTTCGCTGCTCTCACAGATTTGCTTGCACCTGTGGTAGACCCTGTGGTTCTGAACCCCGGAATCACCTGGAGACTTTTTAGAAAAAAGCAGTGCTTAGGCTCCATCCCCAGAGACACTGATTTGGGGCAGAGCCCATACCTCTGGTTGATCTGGGTTGGGGTTCATATTGCTATCACTTAAAAGTGCTTCAAGTGATTCCAATAAGCAGCCAAGATTGAGAACATTGAGTTGTGCCATTATTAATGGCATAAGTTCCTTATGCCATTAATAGCTTTGTCTCCTTGGAAAAATCACTTTATCTGAATATCAGTTTCCTCATTTGTAAAATGGGCATGCTTGCATCTACACAAAGTTGATAGCAGGATTAAAATCAAGTGAGATGAAATTAACTTATCCAAAAGCACAATATCTGACACATATTAAGGCCCAACTAAAGATTTGTTTCTTTCTGTACATCTGCTCAAGCTTTTTTCTCATGAGGTCTCATTTATCTTTTTGATATTAATATTTATTATCATCCTTAACACCTGGTCTTGCTCGTCTTTGCATCTTCCGCTATAATTTTGATGGAGAAGGGACTCAATTTATGTTGTAAAATAAAAGATTTAATCAGGAGTGCAATTTCAACACATAAATGAGTTATCATTGTATTATACATCACTTCTCAGTGTGCTGACTGGTGAAACAAAAATACAAAACCAATGTACCATTTGGAACCCAACATTACAATGACATCAGAACAAACACAAACAGTAGTAGAATCTACACACAAATCACTCCTGATTTAGCAGCCACATCCTATAGCAAGATCACTAAGATACTAAGGAACACTAGTGGCTATTAATAATAAATGGCAATCAAGATGATGGCATTCACATGACCAATCTGCCAGTATTGAAACGATGATCTCTGCTCTGTAGCTTGCCTGAGACTGACAGAATGTGATGCAGGAATAATGTCTTTGCAAATTAGTTGGGGAGAACTGCTTCTTTATTAAGACAATGGAATAAAGTGCAGAATATTTAGGACTCCTGAGAAATTAGCAGGGGTCTTTTGGGGCCTACTGTCATACAGAAGAGATAAAGCCACAAAAGCACCAAGCTTTTAAAATAGCATTGAAAGTGTCATATTAAAGAACAGCCTTTCCTGAAGCTAAGTAAATTCATCACTTCTCTTTCAACTCATATTCACAATGGGAAATCACTGAACTAAATAAACCATATTTTAAGTATGAAAAACTCCATATGTGTCTAAGAATCAAGTATGAAATCCTTTTGTCTGCAGAATTTTACATGAGGGAATTGGTCCCTAAACCACACCCAACCACACCCTCAAGTACCATTCAAAGAGATGGATCGAAGCCTCTGCTGGGTCCACTATCTGATTTCCAATGGAGATCTATTTACATCAATGCAATGAATATGAGCCGTAAATATAATTATTCTTCTTCCATATATATCCTTCCTCTTTTCCCTTTGGTATTGGGCAGATGTGATTTTTATAGTACTTTCTAGACACCTTCCCTGAATTCTACTTTTATTTTATACAAATCTGTCTAACTACTAGGCATATTTTTCCTTCACACCTTTTCACTGGGGATTTTAGCACCTACCAGATAGGTAATAAAAAGGTCACGCTGTGTACCCAAATGCTCGTACAAGGCCAAGTGTTTATTTCCTTTTTTAAAACCAATAGCAATTGGTCCCTTTATGTGTCCATCAATTTTTCCCTCTCTTTATTTTGGATACAATTTATGATCTATAGAAAAAAAATTGCCTTCTCCTACAGTGTAGTAAGTATAAGATTGATGGTATACTCGATGCTTAGATACTGGAAGGAAAAATATTAATAAAATCAAGATTAAATTTACAAAGTATATTTCACAAATCTGGAAGACTCCATGATAAAAACATGATCCTGTTTATCTATTACATATAACAAGCTCCTTCTTCCTTTAATCTAAAATAACAGGATGCTAATTTGTATAGAAATGTAGAAATAAGCCAACATTTTTAGGACTATAGTAAATTTGTACTTGGAGCACTTTGGGTAGACTGTTCTAGGCTTCAAAATAAACAGATAAACACATCTATACAAGGTGCAGGTATAGAGATGTTCATTGCAGCCTTGTTTATAATAGAGAAAAACTAGAGATAATCCAAATGTCCATCAATGGGTCTTGGATGAACCTTGGTACATTAACATTATATAATGCTATTCAGTGCTTACAACGAATGAACTAGATCTATATAAATCAATAGAAATGGATATTAAAACAATGTCGATTAAAAAAAAAAGCTCAAAATGTTACATACAAGATAAAACTGTTTATGGAATTTGTTTAAAATATTCAAAATAATATATCGTTTATGATTTCACATATGCAATAAAAGTAAAAAACTACGGACTAAAAATATGAGTGCCAAATTCAGGAGAGTGGCTTCCTCTGGGACAGGAATAGAGAGAGAGAAATATAGGAGATTTCTTTTTGATTATAATTTTTTTTTCTTTAATTTTGGGTGCCTGAGACATGGAGGTTTGACATATTCAGCTTTATGTTTTCTGTATTCCTTTTACACAAAATAAAAAATAGACAAGACAGGTGACAAAGGTATATACCCAGAAACCTCATTTTGCAAAAATGCTCTTGAGGTTAGGGACAAAAAAAATCAATATTACATAATTTCTAGTAGCTATTTTTATATGATATACAATTATGCGATATCCAAGGATTTTGGTAAACATTAAAAAGAAGCACAATGCTGGGACTCCTCTAATGTCTGATTAATGATATATTTCCTTTCCACAAGTATTATTTGTAAAATGATATTTTTCAAAGTATTCTTTACATGTCACATATAGATCTCTCTTCAAGATCTAAGACATCTTAAACATTTCCAAACTGCTGCTGTCAGCGCATCAACAAGAATGCCTTCTTTGTCCACAGCCAATCATTTAAGTGGCAATGTAAATGCTGGAAACAGCTGAGAAACTCATTTTTCTTCATGTCTCTCCACTCCCCTCCTTCCACTTCCCCCCACCTAAAAAAAGAAGTGTCTGAAATAAAATGAGTCTGGATTATTGTGTTAGTTAAACAATCTGATGTCTTTAAGATCACAAAAAATTCTTCTTTTGGTACAAAATTATAATTTTTTTCTCCTTTAGATGTTCTTTCCTTGAAAAATAATTAACTTAGTTTTAAATACAATGAATATTATGGATTTCTGAAAGACCTAAAGGTGTTGTGAAGTGCTGACAAACACATTACTATGCAAATAACCTAATTCCATTCAGAACTTGTCATTGTCTCCTGGAAGATAATAGATAAATTCTGTGGTGAGAAGGAGCACAAACAATTACTCTGACTCCCATAGTCACAACAGTACTCATCTGACCTGATGCAAAATCTCTCTTCTGCTTTTTTTTGAAAGGGTGAAAGTGGACAACCAGGATTTCCAGGGTCCCTTGGCCCTAAAGGTCAAAAAGGAGAATCTGTAAGTATTTTAGCTTTCAGGGAAGAGAAAGAATATCCAAAAAAACGACTAAAAATATTTTTACAAAACAACCTCAGTTCTATACACCTTGGTTGCCCCTGCAAACAACAATAGATGGATATTTGAGCAAGTGCTCTATTCGAGGCACTTAATACTTTATGTGTATAAACTCATTTAATCCATTAATAATGATAACAAAAAAAAAAATATGAGCTATCACTCCTATTCTTCAGATGAGGAAATTGAGGCCCAGGGAGGTAAGTAACTTACCTAAGTTCAAACAGTAAGTGTTGGAGCAATGAATCATACTTAAGTAGGCTGATTCTAAAACTCAGGGTTTAAAAATCACTAAGCTGCCCTGCTATAACTAAACATTATAGCTAAAATGAAAAATGAGATCAATATACCAAAAAACCAAGGCTAATTTATACAAAAAATCAGAAATATGTATCTATCTGCTCAAACAACTGCTCTTAGTATACTTCCTGCCTTATTTTATTTTTTTGGTTTAAGATCAAAGTGGCTTCTCAAGCCACTTTTCAATATTTCTGAAGCAAGTTTATTTCAAAACTTAGTTCTTTTGGTGGGAGGAAAAAACCTACAGTATCATTTATATTCAAGTAGGACCACCTACAGAGATTAAATGAATCCTAGTTACAGAAATAAAAATTTTAATGCTGCTAAAAAACAATAACAACAAAAAACCTTATGGCAGCCCTAAGTCAGACTTAACAAATGTTTCATCTTTGTTTTTTAAAAAAAGGTAATACTTTCAAAAAAATCACTTTTAACTGTTTCCTTGCCAGGATGAACAAGTGATACTGATTTACTAGGAATAATGAATTAAGAGATCACTAAAATGCTCACATGACAAACAGGAACAGTATTAAAAGTTTTTACTATTTTGCAAAGGCAAACTTTCCCTGTGTTTCAATTTAAAAATTAGGCATCTCTGGCAATGACAATAAATTTTCAAGCAGCTTTAGAATGAATGCTGTTACCCACGTACCCCAAGCTCTCCTACTTTCAGGGTTCATGTTTGCCCTTAGTATGCAGTCCAAGTCTCCATAATCAACTGCAGGAAATACCCCCCTTTTTTTTTTTTTTTTTTTTTTTTTGGTAAGGCAACCCTTGATGGACCTTACAGATTGCAAGGAACTTGTCAGCAGACAATCGCTTATTTTTTAATTTTTATTCTTACAGCACCTGGACTTCCTAGGTGGTCTCTCATCCAAGTACTAACCAGGCCCAACCCTGCTTAGCTTCCGAGATCAGACTGGATAGGGCTTGTTCAGGGTGACATGGCCATAGACAGGAAGTCACACTCTTTAACCAGCTTCCCCAGCTGATTATTTCCAAGAATATCTGGGAAACTCACATGTTCCACAAATCCAGTCTGGCTGTTGCTGCCTCTTCCATCTACTCACTCACTCCTGATGCTCCCCACTTTTTGGCACATCTTACCAACTCTCAACTGCTTCTCAAGGTTTCCACTGTCTCCCCTCCAAGCTTGAACAATAACACTCACCTTCTCTTAATTTCTACTTGACACATGGCAGACCTGGCAGTAAGACTGACTAAAATTCTGCTAGAAAAGCAAGGACATGTAGAGCAGAAAGGAGAAACTTCAGAGTATGTGCTTCTCAAATGTGAATGTGCACTTGAATCATCTGAGGATCCTTTCGAAATGCTGATACTAATTCAGTAAATCTGTGGTAGAGCCTGTGAGGCTGCATTTCTCACAAGCTTCCAGGTGATGCTCCTGCTCTTGTCCCATTGGTCATCCTTGAGTAGCAAAAGTTGGAGGATTTCACAGCTCCTGGGAGATTCTCCGTAACTTTCTCTCCTACCACCAACTTTTGGGAGCATCCCACCTACCCCATTGACATGACCTTTAGCTCTATCTACCTTACTCAGGAGAATAAGCTTCTTTTCCTTTAACATCTCCTTGTGGGTTCCCTCTTGATTCCTTAGTTATCCCACCTCCCTAATACATCTTTGCCTGCCTTCCTCCCTAACCACCCCCACAAAAAAAGCACATTTTTTTGCATTATTATGCAGAGAAGTTTAGCTCTTTGTGGTCTCAACTTGTCTATTCCAGAACAGGATCTGAACTTGACTTTGCATAATAACCAGAAGGCCCAAATAATTCATCCAAATAATTCATCAAATTCAGTTCTGAACCACCTACCCCGAATGGCAGTTTGTCTCCCACTACTGGACATTTAGAATTTGACTAGATGTGTAACATATCAGTACTAAATACACTTAAGAGATCATCTAGTTGGACCCCATGATTTTATAAAAAAAGAGAGGTTCTAAAAGGTGAGTGACTTGATCCAGATAGTAGCCATTGGAGTTAGGACTAGATATCAAATTTCTAGACAACCAGTTTCTTGGTTCTTCTAAAACCAGTTACTTTAGTCAATGTGGCTTGACAGTGGCTCTAAATGCTCAATGGCGTAAGCAGTGTGATATAAGCGGAAACAAGCAGTTATATAAGCAATATGGCCCATTGCTTATATCTAATTAATATCATCTCCTATCTTAAAAATCAAATAAATTTTTTAGAATTAAGCCTGAAAGGCAAGAATATAAATAAAACCCTAATCTAATGTGTAGAAATTAACCAATAATAAGAGATTTAATCATGTTGGCTAGATGTGGGGCATATTAGTCAGAGTAAGCTACGTTACACCAAGTAACAAATTAACCCTGAAATTTCTGTGCCTAACCCAAGAAAGGTTATTTCTTGCTCATGCTGCATGCCCAGCTGGGATAAGTGGGTGTTCTGCTCTACACTGCACTCAGTTACCAGGCTGACTACCACCATGTAGCTAAGCCATCTGACATGCACAACCTTCTTAGTCACCACTGCAGGAATTATGAGTGGCAAGAAAAGTGCGAATGGGCTTTTCACTGCCTAAGTCTGCAAGTAACACATGTCACTTCTCACATTTCATTGCCAAAACTAGCTGCATGGCCCTATGTAACTGCAATGGGAGAAAAGGTGAACTGTAGAGTCTCTACCTCATAGGACATGCAGTGAAAAACATGTTCATTTAGTAACCATTTATTTCCCATTAGTGATTTGTTTCAAAGAATGGCAATCCCTAAGAGGACCCTCAAGATTAGTATTATCTACCGTAATGGTTCTTATACTTTCTCTTGACCTTCATATGCAAAAGAAAAATTTTTAAATTTATGGCTTCTACCTTATTGTCAATTCACCTAATTCAAATAATAAATAAATGAAATTACAAATCAAATCAAATAGACTGAGCAACCAAAGCCTGGGATTGAAGTCAGGCTGCCTGAGTTTGAATCCTGAACAACCAACATCTCACTGGCTATGTGACCTTGGGGAAATTACTTAACTTCTCTGTGTCTCAGTTTCCTCATATGTAAATAGATATACTACTAGTTCCTACTCCACTGGAGATTAACTATGTTAATATATATGTGATTAGAACAGTGCTTGATACATTCTAAAAATTTAATAAATGTCAGCTGTTGTGATAATCTGCACAACTTTAAATTCTCTAGTTTACTAAACTCTTATTGGGCACCAACAGTTACACTAAAGATGCAATGAGAGTCAAGATGAATTATATCCTAATATTTTCAGAGTTCATAGGCAAGATGAACAAGGCAACATAAAGTGTGTGAATGCTCTTTTAGGGAAAATAACTCAGTTACTCAGAACCTTTCTGAGTCTCTTTCCTCATGCTTCTAATGAGACAATATCTTCCCCACAGCAGTGTTGTAAGAATAAATGAGATCATGTACATGTAATTTCAAGAACAGAAGCTAGTAAGAGAAAGCCTATATGTGTTTGTGTGTGTGTGCACGCATGTGTGTGTGTGAGAGAGAGAGAGAGGGGTGGGGAGAGAGAGAGAGAAGAAGAAGGAGGAGGAGGAGGAAGAGGAAGCAGAGGAGGAGGAAGGAGGGAAGGAGAGGGAGGGAGAGAGAGAGAGATCATCTTCCATGTGAACTATGCAAAAGGAAGCTTTGGCCTTGGGCACCATTTCAATATATTAACCACTCAGGATTCTCGAAATAGTATTAGAATTATTAACTTATTGTTCATTTGGGAATATGGGAGATTTTTAAAGTTAATTCTCATATATGCTCCCTTTAAGCTGCACAAGGACTGAGTGATATTTTGGATCATTTTAGAAGCTTGTTGGTAGTGGAGGTCTGAGTTTGGCCTACAGGATATCCACATTCAGTTCTGGAGAGTTTTATTTCTAAAAGTGTTTATAATTGATTCTGTTTTCTACCCATTTTCCTAGGGGGAACCTTTTACGAAAGGTGAAAAGGGAGACAAAGTAAGTAGATATTTATCGCTATCTTGTTTTCTACTTCATTGATTTTTTCTCTCTCTGATTTCTGGTATGTTTACTTTAGAGTCTAATAGATTTGCTAAAATAAGCTCCCTGAGTGTTTTACTTTTTCCTCTGTGTATTTTGACTCTTTTATCTTGATAAATGAGAAATTTTAAACCTTGTTAAGTTTTATCATGTGACGACACTTTAACATTTTGTTTGGAGTGTATATTTTCTTTAACTCATTACTATTTGTGATTGGACATGAATGTTTTGAAATATACCCTCTTAGGATATCTAAAATACAAAATTAAAATACAAGATACAGTTTTTCAAAAATTCTGTTCATTATTCAAGTTGGATTTATCAAACAGGAAAATTTTATCAAAAGGATCAATAATAAGTCATGGAAAATAAGAAAAGTAAACTCAGTATAGCCAATATTGTCCTCTTTTGTTTAACCTTTATTTTTTTCTTTTTTTTTATTAAGTGCATATATCTGATCGTATGTACTTAGTATTCACCATGACATAGCAACTTAAATTCTACTATTCTTTGCCCCTCATCTGAACTTTTAATTCTCTGAGATATAAGATTAGCTAGTGGCAAATCATAACAATAATTTGTTATAATAATTTGTCAGCTAAATGGAGAATGCAGTGATTGCTAATAGAACATGATGATTACAGTGTCAAAAGTGACGAGGAAAAAAACTGTTATAAAGAATAAAGAAAATAAGAAATTGCTGTTTATTAGCAATAAGTATTTTAAATAGTTTTAGAATGAACCCTCCTTGACTTCATCATGTCTTCCATTATTTCCCCCTTTATTGTATGTTCATTAGTGGAAACACAAATGAATTCAAGTATTAAAGATGCTCATCTTCATCTGAATTTAAGCATTATATATATGGTGATTATTTTATTTATAGGGAGAACCTGGAATAATAGGATCACAAGGAATAAAGGTAATCTCCTGACATTCTTCAAATGCATCTCCAACCTAATGAGACTGTGCAAATTAAAGTAACTGGGTTCTCTTTTCTTTTCACCCATATGTTTAGGGTGAACCTGGAGATCCTGGTCCCCCTGGTTTAATAGGAAGCCCAGGAATAAAGGTATATAAGAAATAACTGAGATAAATGAGGAAATAATTTTGGAGTTACAGCCATTTCTGTGTAAAATGATGTGCTCTAGCGCCACTCATTTTCTTTACAGATGTTCTCAGAGACTTACTTTACTTTGTTTCCATGGTGATTTTCCTCCACTTGCTGCATTTATTATATATGTAGTAACTATGTCTTTTAGTTCGCAATAGGATTTTAAAACTCTTTTTCAGAACATATTCACAATAGCATCCCTAAAAACTTTAAGACTAAACAACGTAAGCTAAACCTATAGCCCTGAACTATATTCTTAAAGTGGACAAGATTCAGGGTTCAATTTCCAAGACAAAATGATGTGCCCCCGAGATGCTCAGGTTCCCCATGTGGGACTCCGGGGAAGTGTTCCAAGAGAGACCAGCTGCTGGGAGGTGTGGAAGACATTAAGGTGATGCAGTCCAACCAACAGGTAAGGCAAGTTAGCCAGGCCTCAGCTGTTGGTGACAACAGACCCATAAATGAGAACATTTAAAAACTATGTTTATAAGCCCAAAGCATATTACAGTATTATACAGAGAAGGTAGAATGGTGGAAAGTCAATATTTCTGCAGATAAAGGTCACACCATGTTTTATGTTATATTCAGGCACAATTTTTTTTAAGCAAAGTTAAAGTACATATGATCTTCTATTTTAGGGTCAGCAAGGACCTGCAGGCTCTATGGGACCCAGAGGACCACCAGGAGATATTGTATGTATAGTGGCTGCAGGTGTCTTTGATTTTTGGAAATTAAATTGAGACTGAGACGTGTTTTAAAGAATGTCACCATCTATTTATGTGACTGAATTAGACTACATTTTCCAAAGACATAGATCATCTCTATCACTAAAACTGATCACACCTAACGTCAGGAGTTATCAGAAAGGCTAGTACATTTGTATAGTCATGTGAGGTCCTGTTGACTATCACTAGCGTAATAAGTTGGTCTTTGGAGCTCAAGTTAGCTAAATTATCAAGTGGACATGCTTGTCAGTCATGTGCCAGTAGTAAGGGACATTGGAAACAACCAAAGAAATGAGGAAAACCAAGAGAAAAAGCAAGCATTTCCATTATGCTGGTTTTTGTTTTCATTCTTCATCCAAAAAGACACTTCCAAAGCTTCTGTTGTTGTTTTCTTTTGAGAACCTCCAAAAAGAGCAAGTCTTTTGGTTGAAAATATTTGTATAACACAGTTGGAGAAAGGAGGTTGCATTATGGCCTAGCTTTACTGAACCCACTATTCATTCTCATAGTCTCTCTCTCTCTCTCTCTTTCTCTCTCTCTCAAACACACACACACACACACACACACACACATCCCTCCTACCCTTATGCCCTTTAAATGCATTTCTCTATTCATACCCCCAGGTAAGCCTTTTATGCCTCAGACAACCTCCCTAGCCTTCTGAAAACTTGAGAGCTGAGACACACCATCAGACCTCACTTGAGCAAAATGAGAATAATGCTTGGCCACAACTTTTTGGAAATTGATCTCTTTCTGGCCACAATATCAGTACCCTCCATACAACATTAGAATCTCTCCTTTTCCCATCATCTTGGGAATAGCTCCATGACCTCTTGCTCTATTCTCCTCTATTCTCCATGCTCTGGAGGTCTATATTTCAGCTCATTTGTTCTGCTTGGTACTTTGAATATTCAGTTTGTAGAACAAAACTTTCTGTTGCCTCCCCAAGCCACTTAATGAACTATTACAGGTGTACCTAGTGAAGAGATCTTATGAAAAGAGAAAAATGTTGGTGGCACAGATGGACCCACAGCATGCTCAAGAAGTGAGGTTAAGTGATAGTGGCTGGAGCTAAGAAAAAGAACAAAATCAAAAGAGAAAGAACCCCTGTTGCTAAACCATATGTAAAAGCATATTTTCCTATTTACCCCAATGTCCTTCCGAATTATGTGATGCTACTGACCACCATCCTCCCACCTCTTCTTGGCAGTAAATATAAATGGTGCATTTAGTTCCCATTACATCCTGGTTACTTCATTTGAAACAACAAGCCACACATTTGCACTAAAGTTTGTCCCTCCTTTAACAGACCAAAATCAACCCATCCCCATACACTTTATATTGTTAAAATTCTCTTCTCCTGACCAGGAGTCACAGATAATGTTATTATAATAAGAGAGGTTCTAATTGTTCTTTACCTTTAATTCCAATTTTTTTAGGGATTGCCAGGAGAACATGGTATCCCAGGAAAACAAGGCATTAAAGGAGAAAAGGTATAGCTTCCATTTTATTCATTTTGTATATTAAGTAGCTAGATAAGAGGAAGAGACAGAGGGTCTTAAGGGCATTGGGAGAGTGAAAGAACAGAAGTAGATTGCCAGGATCGTGCAGGGGCTAGACAGTCACATAAACTATGGTGTGAACAATACCCTCCTGAAGTTGTGCACTTGTGGCAGCCTTTGTTCTGGCATAGAAACACAATGGGACAAAATGAACTAACTTAGAGAGCAAGGTCTCAGAACTTGGAAAGTCTTTCAGGCTCAACTACCAACTCTGGTATAGACCTAAGAAGTCTCAATTTTTCAGGTCCTGTTTCTTGATGTCTACATGGAAATAGTATATTAATGTTGAACCATGACTGGGGGTTAACTTAAAGAAAACATAAAAATCAGCTGCAGAACTTTATGAATAGGCACCCTTTTGTGCATATATTTATATTTATGCCTATGTCATGGTACTGCTAAATTCATTGTTAACATAACTCTAAAAAAAAATCTAAAAGCTTTGAAGATAACTAGAACAGTGCCTGGCATGAATTAGGCACTCAGTAAACAGGGAATGAATGAGAGAAGGAAGTTTGACTGGCTCTATTAACTTAAAACAATGGAAACTACCACTTCCACGTTTCCCACCATGAACTGAGCGATAAAATAAGAATCTTACCTTGTTTTCCTCAGGGAGATCCAGGTGGGATTATAGGCCCTCCTGGGCTTCCAGGTCCAAAAGGTGAGGCTGGTCCTCCAGGGAAAAGCCTGCCCGGAGAACCAGTAAGTACCAACCCTTTTATGATTTATTTCCCTTAAAAGTTTATTAATTACTATTGGTATGTTCCCAGTTTCAGATCACCAGTATAGGAACACATTTAGGTCTGCAGAAAAATAAGTATACCTCTTTTTCTTCAGATGAGAGATGTAATCTCTTTGGAAATTTGATGTAAGCAAAAGCCTCTCTTCTGAAGAAAATACACACACACACATCATTTTATAGCCAATTTCAGAAGATTCACAGGTTTCCAATGCAGAAGGCATGACTCCTTTAGGGATCTATGGAGCCTAGTAAGGAGCGCTCATTTTAAACCGTAAACCTTCCTAGGACACTACGTTAAAACAGAAGAACTGCCTGAAGTTTCCCTTCCAGAGGCTCTGCGAATATGGCCACAGGTAGTCATTTGCAGAAAATGTCCTTGTGGCCCAGGCTATTTCCAGGACATACAAAACCGAATAACTGGAAAATCTAAATAACTAATATGCCTTGTTTCATATGCCTTTTTTTCTGATCCCCTTTGACTTTTTATATAATTAATAATAATAGTTTTCAGTAAAAGATGCCTCATTTTAAAGATGAAAACATCTTATATTTTAACATGACTATACAAAATCCATAACCTAGTGAAATTTATATTCCTTGTTTATTATTCTTTTACAGAAAAAGGTTTATTCAAGAAAGATGAAGAGCAATGAAACATTTTTGAGTTATGACTTCTAAGATGTTTTTAACCTTTTTAGAAAAAGAAATGATATATTCTCCTTTTTTTTTTTCTTTTAGGGATCAGATGGAAATCCTGGAGCACCCGGACCGCGTGGGCCAAAGGTATAAAAATATTATAGATAACTTTTAAAGAATTAATAATTAATAAAATGTAGCCAGAAAATTCACATGCCTTGAGCCTTGCACTAACAGAAGCATCTCATCACACAGGGCGAAAGAGGACTGCCAGGTGTCCATGGTTCCCCAGGTGACATAGGCCCACCAGGGGTAGGAATTCCTGGCCGAACAGTAAGTGAAATTCAATTGAGTTTTTGAAACCTTGTTGATTCCAATATTGTGAAATAAACTCCAGTGACAAATTCGAATAAGGAGAAAAGAATAAAATAGTCAGAGGAGGAAATACAAATAAAAACTAGGCAGAGGAAGAGAATTAAAGGGAATTGAGGTTACATAACTAAGCACAGAGAGGGTACTCACTGTTTATTGACTTACAGATGCTGATCGCACGAATGCTGATTTTGGAGTAGAAGTAGTGATTTAACACTTTATTCCTCTATTCTGTAAAAAAGTATGAGTGATTATAAGATTATAAGAATGCGTAATGTTTGGTTATTCCATATTACTGCTTGTTTTTAACTAGAATAAAATAAAAAGTTAATATTCGAAGTGAAGTATGTATCAACAAGATGATATCAGAAATCTCTAGTATCTTAAAAGAGAAGGAATAGAAGTTGTTTTTAATAGTTAAGATACAGAATGGACAGTTTTTTGACATGTTTTAGCTGTAAGGACAGCACCTGATAATAATGACCACTGTATGTATATTTGTTTAGTAATAAGTAATAAAGTTTTTATTGACCATAAAAAGTAAAGATTCTGGGACAAGAAAAGTGGAAATACATTCCTATTTTAATGACATTAATTTGGGAAATTGGCCTCGTAATGAAGTTAACATGAGAGCTAAAAGAAGATGTAAACAGTAGATAGTTATGTTGTGTGTGACTGGTGTTTGATTTTCCAGGACAAGAATAAAAATGACTATTGGAGATGGGAGATTAAAAAAAGTAAAAAAATAAATCAGGAAATTATTTGGAGAAAGAGGTTGAAGCAAAAAATAAAAAATAATAACTTAAGGACAAAGTATAACTAGAAAGTGAGCAAAAAGTTTTGACAATTACAGTGATATGAATATTTATTTTAAAAAATAAGAAAGGAAATGTCTGTGAGCAATTACTAAAGCCAGCTGCTGGAAAATCAGCTTTTCACTTATTTAGGTTGTGAATTCTTTATTTAGTGATCCATGGTTATATGCTACGGTTAGAGTTATCATCATTAGGTTCACTGATAATCTCTCAGCTCGTTTTAGTTACCCTAAATTTCAGTGTGCTAAAGTAGAAAAGAATAACTGATCGACAGCTTCCTACTCCTGTCACTGAACACTTGTTCTGGCAATTTCTTCAAATAGAGAAATGAGGCAAAGTAGAAAGCAGAAGGGAAAGGAAGCCCTGAGCCAGTTGCCCTGTGGCCAGTCAATTTCTGAACAGATAGAATCTGAATGTATTGTTTGTGCATTCATGGAGGTACAGGGACAGATGATGGTACTGAGAGAGATATCGCAGGCATCTGAGCAGTCATGTTGATGTTTCCAGCAACAGGCATCTGGTTAAGTGTCACCTAAAAGTCTTGGCTGACTTTGCAGAGTTTTCAGAGTGTACAGGTGGCAGGCCCTGTTGTTCCACTAAATAAATTACAATACATAGCCTTTTATCCTACTTGGATACTTTATGGACATTCCTGGCAGAATTCTGATCATTGGATCTCATTCTTCTTAGGGATCCCAAGGACCAGCTGGAGAGCCAGGTATTCAGGTAAGCTACTTACCCAAATTATCTGGCACAGCAAATCCAGTTTGCTTCCATGGGGGAAATTACTGAAAGACTCTCCTCATAAGTAACTATTTTGTCCTTTTCCAGGGTCCTCGAGGTCTCCCTGGATTGCCAGGAACTCCTGGAACCCCAGGGAATGAAGTAAGGACCATCTTGACCTACTCTTCCCACCCCAACCCACCCTTTTTAATCTGCACCTGTGCCACTGTGCAAAGATTTGAACATGATGTTTCTGTTTTCAGGGAGCTCCAGGGAAGGATGGAAAGCCAGGTCTGCCAGGCCCCCCAGGTGACCCGGTATGTCAACAGACTGTGCCTGATTTATGTATCATTAAATACACCCAGAAGCCAAACAGCCTACCAAGCAAGTTTTGCTGTCCAAACTAATTAAAATGCTCAGTGACTGCTTAGTGATTTTGTTTGTCTCCACTATTTTGTAGAGGGGGAAAAAAATTCAAGCTGCATAAGCATTTTTTGTGTGTGTGACGAACACTTATTTTCTAAAGGTATAATTCAACTGTACCATTTTGCCCCAGGCTGAGCCCTGGCATATCACATCTCAATCCCATGGAAAAAATTGAGTTAAAATATATAACCACAATTTCTATCCTTTCTAATGCTAGTGACTAAATGAATTTCATTTCTCTAAAAAGAATTTTGCAGGTAAGTCACTTACAATATGGTACATATCCATTGATTCTGTGGCTTTAACAATGTTGAAATGATTAAATTACAAAAACTGGCTTGAGTGGGCTCTTTAAAAAATGGGTTTAGACACTAAATGTGTGTTCCGAAGTTTTATTTTAGGTTAAACCTTGCTTTGAGCGACAGTGAAATCCCTTTAAATAGCCTCAGAATCGGCAGTTATAATTTAAGAGGCCATATGGTACATGACATTGTATTAAGAGTTTTGTGTAATAAAATCCAAATCTGGCGTCTCAGTTCTAAGCTTCACAAATCTTTTTTCTTTCCACACTGGTTGGGGCTTATGTGCCTTTATAAGCTACATTCAGAGGCATATTTCAGCCTTTAACCCCACCACTGAGTGAATCATGTGTGTATAATCTGGGAATTTTGTAAAGTGTTACTTGGATTTTTATAGTGTCTCTCTGAGACAGTTTAAGACATGAGGCCAAAACATTGCCTGAGTTCCCTCAGTATCTGTCTTGCCTATCACTTAAACCACACTTAAGCTCTTTTGAACTTAGGTGAGAAAGAACTTTAAGGCAAATTCATCCTGTACTTTTTGTATTTCTTAACAGCCTGATAATTTGCCTGGCAGAGAGCTGATTTCCTTTTAATAAATGATTTACCTTTATGTATTATTTAAAAGCAACAAGAAATCGCTTCTCAGCCTTTTGGCCAAGATCAAGTGTAAAACCAATTATATATTAGGGCTGGCATAAAGGTTGCCATGTCGTGAAAATATAAAATAGAAATGCAGAATCAAAGCAATTATATGCATGTGTTGGTGTATTCATAGTAGAGGAATAAGGACTATTTCTCAAAAATGTATGTTTGTATAAATACACATATTTGTTTCTTTCTCCTTAACCACAGATTGCACTTCCTCTCTTGGGAGACATCGGTGCTTTGCTCAAGGTACTTTGTTGCTATATAAGAAATTATGTGTTAATTTCCAAGAAAAATCTGAAAGGAACTCTCTGCCAGAAATTGAGTTAATTGCTTAGCATGAACTAAAATTCAATTTTTAAATGGCAGAACATCTATAAGATGAAAAAAAGGAATATGTGTCTTTGTGTACCTTGCACCATTTATACTAATCTCTACGCTCTCTTCTTTACCACTCTCTCATTTTAGGAGTAGACAGTCGGTGGGGGGCCGGGGGGAAGATGGTAGTTCTTAGATGAGCTGCAGGGAAAGAATCATGTCACTAACTCCCTGGAGTAGATCATTCTGTCCTCTAGGGGAGCAGCTTTCTCTTAATGGGTGTTTACCCACTCTGTTTCACCACTGAGTAAACTAATCCTCCTCCCTGTATTTGCCCTGGCCAGTCCCAGGATGAAAACCAGTGCTGCTCAATAAACAGCTAGCTTGCAAGTCTGTTTGGATGTCATGGAATTTATAAATGAGCTTCAAAATTCCAAAGCTGACAATTGCCCCAATACCTGTTACTCTATGAAATAAAAAGTATCTCTACCTATTTCCATCTTGCTACAATTTTTTTCCTAATACTTCCCTATATTTTATTAGTAAAATAGATGAGGGAGAATTTTAGTTCATGCTAAGCAATTAACTCAATGGGACACATAATGCTAAGTATTTGCATGTTTCTTCATGGTATGCTAAGAGTGAGTGAACCCAGATGAAAATCTGTCCCTTTCCATTATACTCAAACCTTATGCATTTTATCTGTCTTTGTATAGATGGACAATATATATGTTTACACACACACATACACTTAAGCTATATATATGTATATGCGATTTATTTTATATTCCTAGCATTTAGCTCAGTGTTTTGCACAATGACTTATATAATAGTAGGTAGGCAGGAATATTTGTTGGATTAAATACAAAAGACTCAGGAATTCTAGTATATGTATTTGTTAGGTGATTAAAGTTTTGAAATAGATATATAAATGTAAATATGAATATAAAACTATATTAGAGGGGTTTTTAAGACCATCTAAAGGCAATATTTTTAGTTGGAAAAGAATATTCATGGGAGTTTCAGGAAGATCTTTTATTTACCAAATTACAACTACATGCCAGGCAATGTGCTGCGTTACTTATATTATCTTACTTACTCTTCACAATAATGCTATGATTTTAGGCTGTGGTAATATCCCCATTCTGTAGATGAGAGACTGAAGTTCTGAGCAGTTAAGTAACTTGCTCAGAGTGACACAGCTAGTTACCATAACATTAACACAGGAATTTAAGTCCTCAGACATTGTTTTAGGTTTTTAACAAGGGCAGTAGTATTGAATCCTGGCAGCATTGTAAGAGTTATACAATTCCAGAATAGTTAAGGTTATTTACTCTAAGGATCAAACATGTATACACTTAAGCAGAAATGAATATCCTGAAACAATGTGGAGTGGCTCACAAAAAGACTCTGAAGAGGTTCTGACAAAGAGAGGAACCAGAACTCTAGGGGTTTCAGAAGTGGAAGTAATTAATAGTTTCGCTAGGGCAGCATCTCTTTAATGAATGCTCTCTGCCATTGTTCCAGTTCTAGCATCATCTCGGCTGAGGTTCTGAGAGCCAGAAAAGCTGACTGGCAAGAGGCAGGCAAAGCACCTTGACTGATAGTCCCAACAAACTGTATTCAATAGAACAGGGAAGCATGTAGTTCCCCAAAGCAAAATCTAAATACAGAAATGTAAACTGGGGATTAGATCTGTCTGGCCAATTTGATAATGCTATTTTAAATCCTGATCCTGTTACCCAACATAGGAACTCTCCTCTATCTTGAGTCTTTAGCGAAACTTATGCTTTCTGTTTTCAAAAGTATCTTTAATTAAGATGTTGAAAAGAACTGAGATAATTCCAAGCTCAAATGGTATCCCATCAAAGACCTTCCTGTAGGTTCATCTGTATATTGTTCCATCTTTGAATGAAACTGTGCTTTGGCTAATAATTGGTGCATCTTTATTCTCTTCATATGAAAATCTTAAGACATTTTTTTCAAGAACCTGAATGAAAGCTAGTTCTCCTTAATTTACCATTCTGGTAACCCTACGCTAAAGAAAATGAGGTCAGTTTGAAATGGGTCTTAGAAAATTTTATTGACTCAAATGATTACCATTTTTAAATATTTAATTAAACAATCATTTGGATAATCCATTCTAAAATATTGCTAGATGTCAATATGCCGAAGTTTTGCTCCATATTGATATGCCACACTTATATGTCAACAGATACAATAATTCATCTACTTCATGCTTTTTTAAATATGGAAAACTTTTTGTTTTGGTTCTAAGTCCTTAAGGCTCGCTCGCTCGCTTGCTCGCGCTCGCTCTCTCTCTCTCTCTCTCCCCCTCCACTCCTCCCCCCTTCGTAGTTTTTCAGATATCATAAGTGGTGGTATACAATTATATATGTATTTTTTTAAACTCCTTTACCAACACATTAGCTCTGTGAAAAGAGCCTGGTGGTAAAATTAGTTTGGGAAATGTTAAACACTTTAGCTCCCTTTTATATATCTCAGCTCTAAGAAGGACCACCATGAAGAGAACTCTTTAGCCCAGCACTTTTTTAGACAAACTACCTTAGAATCTTTTCAATATTATACAAAATTAGTCTTCCAAGGAGCTTAATTTTTGAAATTAGGCTTATGATACTCAATGGGTCAAAACTATTGAACATGAATGGCCATGGCCTTTTTTGCTAATCTCATCAATAGCAAGCTTCAGTTCCCTTTTCATGTTTGAAGATTCTTCCCTTCAGTGATAAGAAGTTTATCTTGTGAGCTCAGACACTTAAATTCAAGCCTTTCCAGATCAGCTAAAGGTTACAGAGACAGCAATGGAAAGGTAATTCTGCTTAGATTTGTCTCTCTGTACTTGGATTTGACATAGAAATCAAGTTCAAGTCACTCAAGTAATTATTTCTCACATGAGTGCTTCCACTGACAAATAAAATGTTGGAAAACTGTGTGTAGGGTTCTCCAACTAATTTCGCTCTCAAAAAGAGAAATCCTTTCTTCATAGTTTTTTCTTTCTTTCTTTCTCTTTCAATGATTTATGCTACTGGTTGTATGAGCTCTGTTATCTTGCTGGTTATTCCAAACTTTATTATCACCTCCCTTTTTAAACATGCTGCTAAGCAACTGAAACTCAGTCTCTATTCTTGACTTATATGTTGTTTCCTTATTTATTTAGAATTTTTCCTTTAAATGTCATCATAAAGGTGTTTTACTTTTTAAATAGCTCACCAGTATCATAAACAGATATCATTGACTAGCTTCATAAGTAATTTTTACCTCATAAAAAAGTAGTCTTTTCAAATTGGATAGAGTTTCTGAAAGTACTGACTTAGCAATTGCTATATCACTCATCTCTGACAAAAGTTCAAATAGAACTTCGAATCTGATCAAACCTCACTTTTATAGATGACTTTGATGAATTTATCAGTCACTTTATCTTTATACTCATTAGAACTTTTGTGGCAACTGCCATGCAAGTGTTCCTGGGCTGAAAAGCAACAAAGGAGAAGAAGGAGGTGCTGGTGAGCCCGGAAAGTATGATTCAATAGCCCGGAAGGTAAGAAGGCAGGCTCAGTATTGATGGGTCCTATAGGTTACACATAGTACCTTCTCTCACATCTGTTACCGCCTGTCCTCTAGGGTGACATGGGGCCACGGGGTCCTCCAGGAAATCCAGGCAGAGAGGGACCAAAGGTAAGGAAGTCTCCCTTTCACTCTCTTTTGTATGATTTCCAATTCAGTGTGAAAAAAGAAACCCATTTTTTTTAAATGCACAGCTTTATATAAAAATATTTTGGAATAGTGGTGTAAAGCCACTTGCAAATGTCATTTATTTGTTTCCTGACTCTGTCCAAATTATATGCCCTAAGTATCCTGAGAAGAGATATTTTCATTGTTCCAAAAAATGACAAAATGAATGAGTGTACTAGCTGAATTTATTGTCTTTTTAGGGAAGCAAAGGAGAACGGGGCTACCCTGGGATACCTGGGGAGAAAGGCGACGAGGTAAAAGATTATTCTCTGATGATGTAGTCCTATTGATTCTCTTTACATAACTCAACAGAAAAAGGACATCAGTTTTTCTGGAGCTCATGTTTAATGCTAAAACAAATAAAAACAAAGACTTGGGTAGGTCTTTTCGAATATTAACACATTTTGAATAATAACATGTTGATGTTAATTATCAATGGTCAGGTTTTTGAGATGAGGAAATTAAAGCACAAAGTTCACATATCAATTACTATGTTTCCATTTTCATGTAGCAGATGATAATTCCAGCTCTCTCAAAATAAAAACAAGGGCATAGAGGAAGGGAAGATATACTGACAAATATCCCCAGGTAGCTAGTAGAATTGAAGGAATCGTTAACAACCAGCCTAGGGATAAGGGCAGCCCCAAACTCATTAGGACTTCCCTGGGACCCTGCTGTAACATGACTCAACTTCAGTGACGTTGGTTTGTCTGTGATTCTGCTCAACTTTCGAACTTGGGAGAAAAGGGTCTGATTGGACTAGCTTAGATCAGCTGCCCGCCCCTGGACTAAGGTTCAAAGTCAAATGTGCTTTTGAGATGTTGGTATTAAATTTCTGACTCTAAGCCATGGTAATTCTCAGGATATCATTCTTTTCCCTCATAATTCACATTAATGCTAGAAAAACCAATTAGGATGATGAATTGTTGTTAGTTTAAACAGTTTTGATACTAATAATTCTTAATGAAAGTAAGTAAGCCATCTGGCATATGTTAACCTTGATGTTAGTGCAGAAAATCATAATGATATGAAGTAGATCTATTTCTGAGTTGGAGTTATATTTCACATTACAAATTATTATCATTTTATTGTTTTTAATTATATTGATTCTCTTCTAGAAAACTGAGGAATGGCTTTTTTTCTAAGTTAAAAGTTGAAGAACAAAGAAATATAACATTTTCATCCAAAAATAAAACTGTAAAGGCATTTTATTTTCTAAATAAGAGTTATTGAGCTTTTTGCTTCATCATGCCCCACAGAAAGTTTCACTGAAGTGCAAGCACAATATCTGATTTTAATAGTCTAACAGCTTTTAACTGCCTAGATTCAAGAGGTAGGCTGTAGAGGAAATTGAGAAGGTAATAACAAAAAGACCAGGAAATAAGTGGAATTCAGGTTTTTTATAAGTGACTCTAAATTAAATTTATTGGAAGTTAATTTTTATTGATTTAACAGGATACTTGACTCTCTTGGTAAACTGAAATCCATTGTTATTATTCTTCCACTATTTTAGTGTGTTCTTTCTTAAGTACACTTTATGGATTCTTTAATACAGAGTACAAAAGCTTTGCACAAGACTCTTGTTATATGGGGAATTCCAGCAAGTTCAGAAAGAGATTTTTTTCAGTTGTTTCTTCACATCACATGAATAATATGAATAAACCTAAAGTAACATATTAGCTCAGTTGGGCCTTTTGGGGGGGAATGAGGCAATGTGGCATTTGCCTCTTAGATGGGAAATAGTCAATATTATCTTGTCTTCTACTTAGACTCAAATACTGCCTGAAACTATAACTCGTTGACTGGAGTGAATAAAACTGACCAGGAATATGTGTATTTCCAACTGGCCAATAAACTGTACTATTTTAGTGTGCACATAATATCTAATCATACCAAATCTCAAATGTTTGTTCCACTCTCAGTGGAAAAGATAAAGAGGGACACCCCCTCTCTTTGAGGACTTCTAATTATTATGTCTTCAATTTAATTCATTTGGGAACTTAGAGGAGTTGCCTGCTTGTTGCTCTTAGAAAAGCGACATTATCCTCTACAGTTTTTGCAGGTGTTGTTTCACAACTCAAAGTGGTAACTTGTAAGCCGCTAATAGAACATACCTCTCATAGATTGAATGCTTGCTTGGAATGCAGACCTTCCTACAATATTCCAGGATAATAACTGATAAATAAAACATAAATTATCACAAAGGAAAAATATTCTTGATGGCAACTGAGCTAGGTCTGGCAAAACCAAAATATCAGAGAAGGGAAAGAACTTAGTAATCCCTGAATATCTATGCAATAAATTTTAATTTGTATTTTGGTTGGCACTATATGCTAAATTGACTGTCATACTCTTTAATATGTATTCGTGTTCTTTAATGACCATCTTGTCTTCTAAAATTATCTTCTTGCCCTTTATGCATCCATAGTAACTTTTACCCTTACTACAAAATTTCAGCTTGTTCAGAAAGACTGCTGAGAATTATTTTTTTTTAATTTATGGACTGAGGTTTATTTTAAAGTTTAATATGGTCATCAAAGGTTAATGAGTCCCAAGCTTATGAATTAGAGTACCTAAAGACTCACTCAGTATCTCTAGACTGTTTCAGTGTTAAAAATTAAAGTAGAAAAAAAAAAAAACATATGTACATGCATATCTTGTACATGTACATAGAGAATTTTATGAAAATATGGGTATTTTGAGATAAAGCTATTTATGATATAGCATTTATAATCTGAAGACATTTAGGGGTGCCGTTCTCAAATGAAATTTGTTCTTTCCACTTATACACCACAAAACAAATTAATGGTAGGAGAATAAAAAGAGCCAATAATGTTTTATAAAAAGTCTGAAAATTCAGAGCTCTGAAACATATCTGACACTAATTTCCAAATAAGGCATAGCAAACCTCTATTTATCATTCTCATCTTTTATAAAGTGCATTTATAATTTTTTAATAATTTGGGCCCTACTCTGTGTAATATTTTGTAACTTATTTTTCCATGTTATCCAATAGTTTGCCTAAATGTGATTTTAATAGTTGCAAAATATTTTGTATTATGAATTTTATGTAGTTTATTTAACTATTGCTAGCATACTTGGTAAAGGAACAAAATTAATTACCCGAGTTACTAGCTAATCTTAACAGTTCTTCCTTGAATATATGAATGGATCAACATCTTAAACCCTATCCAGTACAATTAGTATTATTCTACAAATCTAAGGAGGCGAGGAAGAAGATATCCATTAATTTTTATGCTTAAGCCATTAAAGTATCCCAAATTTAAATTTACCAATGAGCAAAATTTCTTCTTATAATGAACTGGCCACCCAAACTAAATATTATACCATAAAACATATTCCATTTTCCACTAGCTGAATGAAGCATTAGTGTAATTATATATTCTTTGATGGCATTCTACCAATCTGAAATTTATATTTTCATGCCTTAGCAGATCCGGATACTCAGCAATGCTGTTGTTGAGTGTGGCTTTGTGAGATCAGAAATGCTGTATGAATCACCAAACACATTAAATTATGTTCGTTCCAGATTCCATGTCACAGTGTTTAAGCTCACCATCCTTACTCTTTGAAAATGGCTATTTGTTTATGGCATATATCATGTTTTTTGATTAGACAACATAGAAGTTTAATTTTCAAATCAAAATAGTTGATTAATTTAAATACTTTGTTTTCAATGGCATAACAGCTTTTATGGTAAGAACTATCTCTTCTAGGGTCTTCAAGGAATCCCAGGCATTCCAGGTGCTCTAGGCCCAACTGGACCCCCCGTAAGTATTTGCTAAAACTGTTCTGCTCACAGTTCATATCTGATGGAGTGATGAAAGGTGAACTAATATTTCTCATTGCCTTTGTTCTCTGTGCCTCTATGTAGATTATCTAGCTGTTGCTTGGGAAAGTAGCATCCACCATCTGAGATTTTCATTTAGTGGTACAAAGGTTGCTCGGCATTGTGGAGATTTGTCATCAGAATTCTACCAGACCAGAAATCAGTCTGCAGTTAAGCTAGTCTATTTGGATAGAAGTTGGATGTAAAAGAGCATTCTATTTCTGTTATAATTTTTTGGCATTAACTTTTGGAAGAGATATTCAGATGGTTATACCTTTATTTCTTAAGCACCATAAACTCAGAATTTATTTTCTAGAGAAAAGAAATGGGTTAAAGATTATCAGATTCAATTTATCTTTATTCCAATCTATGAATTAAAATACCCTGTACTTTAGTCAGTACTTTTTTTCACTGTCCCTCAGACACAAGGTCATGTCCTTGTGTCTTTGGTTATACTGTTTTCCTAAACAGGATCTCTTTTCCTTTCCCACTTGCTAAACCCTATCTCTCATTAAAGTGGAGCTCAAGTCTGGGGTTGCCAGTTAAAATAGAGGACATACAGTTAAATTTGAATTTCATATAAATAAATAATTTTTAGCATAAATTTGTCCCAACTATTGTATTTTTATTTGCTAAATATAGCAACCCTACTCAAGTTTTAACTTCCCTAATTCTTACCTTCTTAGAGTTCCTGTGCAAATGGCTTTTACCACACAAGTAGGAATGTAATCATGTTCCCTAATGTTTTGAATTATGGATTTGCCATAATTAAAATTTTATGCTTTATGCTTTCACCATGGTTATGCAGAAAAACCTGGCTTTAAATTGTAGACTAAAATTAAAGTTAAGAGAAAGAGTTGTGAAAAGAACCCTAAAAATTATAACTAACTCTATTCTCAAAAAATAATTAAAATTAAATTTTATTTTCCATTGGTAAAATACGGATCTCATAAGTCAATATGCACGTTGTTAATTCTGCTGTGTCTTGAAGTATGTAAAATGTTGATCGCTACGAAATTATAGCTCATTTGAAAGCATAATGTTATGTAAATTGCCATTTAAACAGCAAGGCTGAATTCTTAAATGTATCAAAAGGTTCCAATTAAGGTCATTAAATGTGGTTGGCCAAGGTGAAAAGCTACCACAAATACAAATTTTACCTTTGCAAGAGCTTATCAGCAGGATACAGCTGCTGTATCAGCCTGAAGAAATGTAAGCTTGTAGGACTGATTTAATTAGGATTAAATGACCTTCAAAATGTATCAGTTTTAGACCAACTTCCAATACTCTTTCACCACTTAATTATTGTTTTTGTAACAAACTTGATTTTTGGTTTTACAGGGCTTGATGGGAAGAACTGGACATCCTGGTCCTGCAGGAACAAAGGGTGACAAGGTACAGAGGGAAAGACTCACTTAGTGTTTGAACTGGGGCTTGGAGTAGGGGGAAGATGAGACCATTTACAGAGAGATCCGTAAAATCAAGTGAAGCCTAAAGGTGGCAGTGATGTCTGATAGTGGGCTTGGAAGGCCATAAATCCAATAAATGGTCTTAAGGAATACAAGAGATATGTTCCTAGAGGAAAAGATGAATAGAACACTGGTGCCATATAGCAAAGTCCAAGCTGGATTCAGGGTCCTGGGCATCTAGGTCTATGGAAGGATAGGATGGGGGATGCCTCCTGACGAGGTGCAGATAAGGTGGTTTGTATTAGGGAGTTGCAGCCACAGGTGTCAAGGCTTCAGACTGCATTCTGGCCATCAGGACCAGGAGTCCAATAAGTGAAGAGCATGCTGGGAAAATCAAAGTTCCGTCCTTTGACAATGATAAGGGGAATTCAGGAAGGAACCAGGACAACTTGTTTTCTGGCGAGTCCAGTTGACTGGACAAATGGGTTGCTGTAGTCAGAAGGGAGGACCAGCAGTACAGGAGACTCACTCAGACAGGGAGACCACAGGGCTTCATAAATTTACCCGATTTAGAATCTAAATTGACATCACAGTGTGAAGCCAGACAGCGCCAGCAAATGAGTGAAATAAGACTAGCTCTTCAGATTAGGGAAGTAGAATCAAAAATCCAAGTGAGACACTCGAGTGGCTTCCATCCTGAAATTACCAAAATGGGGCAAAATGGCATCAAGGGGCAAAGGAATCCCCCCAAAATGTAAAGGAAACAATGAGCTTATTCTAGTTAGTCTCAGCACATTTTTTCCTGATCTTATTCCGAGGAGCTTGCCTAACCCTACCAATCATTTTTCTCTGTTCTCTATGGAAATTATTCAGTCAGAAATTTGCCTTTTGAAGTTATTGAGAATTCCACACTGAGATGAGCTTTGAGGCACAATCAAGTATAAAAATATGACTTTTAATTGTGCCAGAAAAAAAAAGTCTTTTCAATAGGCACATATTTTTCCTTGTTTATTGTCCTCTCATAGTTCATAAGAACTATGACATAATTCTCTGAAGGACACTGCCAGCAGTCAACAAACTATGACATGTCTTAGAGAGATAGCCACCATCAAAGCAGTTAGGGAAAAATACAATACACTCGTTGTCTGTCACTCATTCTCAGTCAGATAGATTATAAGAAAAACTTTACAGTTTATTTTTATTGATAAAGATACAAACAAAAGGTTCTATGATACATTTTTTTTGTTTTGCTGAAAAGATAGGGGAGATTGGAATGAAATCCTTCATTAAATTTCTGGAAATGGGTTGAAATCCCTCAAAATTCTTGGGCGTGGTAAATAGGAATTTTACTCTCTCTGGATTCCTTTTTAATGAACTTCTCGCCATTGCCCCTGATGTTGAGAGGCTTAAAATTTTTATGAGGCTATAATTCTAAAAGAAAAATTACAGGAAGAACTGATTAAAGGCAGCAAAGGGACTATAATACCTCTGCTTATTAAGACCGATAAGCAATCTATGTTTTATAAAAATAAAAGTGAAACACATTTTTCAAATTTCAACTTGAATTCATTTTTTTATAAATTCAATTTTCAGTCTGCTTCTCTTATAAGCACAATGTCTGAAGCTGTTTAAATCATATAGAACATTTTTCTTAAAAAGCATCGTACCATAGTCACTTCTGTTCAGTGGGATGTGCCTGACTTGGTTACAAAGTCTAATATTAACTTAGGAAGTGAAACAAGTGTCTTGTCCTGCAGACACAAAACAGGTTGTGATTTTCTACTTTGGTCAAATTATGTGGATGGCCCCTCTGGTTTCCAAAAGTTGAAGGTGTAGAGGTGAGGCTAAAGTGAGGGGCCGACTCAAAGAGCCATATCTCATAGCTGGTCCCTTGTTTGCAGAAACTCCGCTCTGCACCCCTACATAGACAGAGTGCCCCCAGTAGCACTTGAAGTCCATAACACAATCACCTGCATTGTCTAGCTCCATCTAATAATAAGCCTCATCCCGGGGGCTCCCACAGTAAGAATTTAAATGGGCGTGGGATAAGACATTTATCTTTCCTGTGGTCTAGAAACATATTTTCCCAGGTGAAAGAAAAGCCAAGCTGAAAAAGACGTCACAAGGCCGAAACAAAATGACAAGCCATATTATTTTAGAATATGACTCTCTGAGGGAGCAGTCTGGTTCATAAACCTGGCATAGAAATGTCTAAACCATTGATTTTGGTCTAAATATCCCTTACAGGGCAGTGAAGGACCCCCTGGGAGACCTGGACCACCTGGACCGCCTGTGAGTTGTTTCAGGTTTAAAACTTAAATTCATATGTCTGCTTAAGACTTCTGTATCTCAGAGGTCAGACTATATTTAGATGTCCTCAAGGATAAAAGTCGTCTGAGTTTTATGTATAAATATAAAAAGAAGTGTAGCTTTGGCGAGGCCTGGTTTTCCCCTTTGGCTCAGTTCCAGTGTGAAGTGCTCATATTTGCATACTATGGTTCTCCTTACTGTGGACTGAAGAGACCTAGCTATGTGCCCCAAATCTCCACTTTCTGCCTGGGGGACCCTGAGAAAGTCTTTAAACTTCAGTGATCCTTGTTCATAGAAAAGAAAGGGACTTTAAAGAGATCCTTTCCAGCAATGTGAATTGGTCCGAAATTTGGTATTATGCTATATGTGTTCATTACCATCCATGATGTTTGAGATGCAGTGAAATTCTATTTACATAGCACCTAGCGAATAAAATGTACAGGAGTCATCAATGTTTTTATGCTCATGATTGTGACAGATGTGCATTTTGCTAGAGAGGCTGTGAAGAGATGAGGTACCTCTCTCTGTAGCAAGTCTGCCCTCATGTGGGGCCATGCTCAAATTGCAGGAGAGCTTTGGTCCAGGCCAAATGTTCCTTTCCATCCTACCTAGTTTAAGAAGCCAAACACACCTGAGAAGGGGCAGGATTCACCTGCAACTTTCTGAAGACAACACAGATATGTTATTAGTCTGCATGCAAATATAGGCTCTGCCCACATAAATGAAGAGATTTATACTCTATTTTTCTAAACCTGTTCATTTTGTTTACTGACCCTCTCCCTTCACAAGGAAGCATCTGGGCTGAAGTCCTAAAATGCATTCCCTCCCCAGTGGACAAAACAGCAAAATATAACATGAGCTGATGAAAGGGATCTATGTTTTATAAGGAGCTTAAGA